GTGCTATTACAAATGTGGTAGTACAAATTAAAAAAACTTGTCATCTTGTTTGATGAAATTAAAATAAGCAATCATGATTAATTAAGGAAGTTAATGGTAATTGTAAATAAAATATAAAAGGAAAATAATCACACTTCGATTGGTCAAAATAACAAAATTGGTTAAACAAAACACGATTGGTTACATAAAATAAAGAATTTTGGCACTTATATTTATAAAACTAAGATTACTAACGAGTATAAAAGAAAGTAAATTGCCTAACAATATACAAACAAAATATATACAACGAAGATGGGGGTTAACTAAGGGACGAACAGGAGACCTACCACATGGACTTGTTTATGATAATGATTGCTCTGGACAAGTTCTTGTCGGACCTTCTGGATACTCTGATCATGCTGGCGTGTAGATCTAAGCATTTAAGCTACCATTGGAGAACTTTTGAGTTGGCTCTTCATGATGATGTTTCTATTGCTGACGATCAAAGTGGTTCAGGAGCTTCGAACGATAGCTGCCTCGTTCATTGGAGTGTTTTCAGGTGTTTACCCAAGACTTTTGATGTCGAGGTTACTGATGAGCTCGCACTTCTTGCGACTTCAGAGAGAGTGAATGAACCTCGAATGATTGTGTTTCTGATGGCTCCTGACTAAATGCTGAAATTCGTGCTGCTGCACTTAATATTGCGGTAGTTGCCGCATTGAGTGCTGGCCCAAGTGCGTTAGATGCTCTTGGGAACGCTGCTTCGCAGAGTGATGTGGCGATATTTGCTTTGCCAAACGTGGTGTCGTATGATGTGATGGTTTTTGATTCCGAACGTGCTGTCGAGAATGCTGCTGAGCTGAGTGCTGTGCCATATTCTGTAATGGTTGCTGTTTCCGAATGTGTTTTTGAAATTGCGGCTTCATTGAGTGCTGGGTTCGTAGTAGAAACTGGTGTTGCTTTTGCAACTGATGATTCTGCCTTTGCTGCTGTACCTGTTGCTGCTTCTGCTGCGGCAAAATGCTTAATCGATGGTTTGGAGAGGACGTGTAATGCTGTATTGGTTGACGTATGGTATTCAGGACTTGCGATCCCTGAACTGCTACATCCGAAGTTGTCGTGCACCGTACGTGAGGTTTGGAACTCAATTTGCCATATCTGTTGTATACGAAACTGGTTTTATGAGAGATAGGGTTTGGCATTAGGAATGTGTGATCTCTTTTGTCCACATAGCACTGACCTAAGGACAGAAAAACAGTGACTGCTGATTCGCCTTGCTTCGATAAGGTACTAAAAGGCGAGATAGTAGTTGCTTGTGGTTCTTCTGTTTCAATCAATATCGCCGCCCACCGTTATCTTGTCCGGGTTGTCAGTTGTATCCATTTTCTGCCCTTTAATACTTTGCTGCAATCCAGCGAAGAGCGAAGATTTAGCTGGAGTTGAAAGTTATGCTGTCTTCCCCATTACTACTAAGCCAAGCACTGTTGGCTGAAGGAATAACTCATCAACACCGCTCCTGAATGGTGTACCGTTGATAATAAGTGGGTACAAATCAACGCCGATCAAAAGATCTATCGTACCGGGTGTATGGAAGCATTCATCTGCCAGTTGATATCTTGATAACTGCTTCCTGACATAAGCTTTTAACGGAGTACTTGGAAGTAGTGGAGTGATTGAGTTCACAACGATGGCTTTTGTGATGAATTGCTCGTTGCTGAAACGTGATTGCAGAGTGCATTCAATTGATCCGTTTGGCGTCACGACTGGATTACCACCAAGACCAGCGATGCTAATGTTTAACGGATTGGTCTTGAATCCAAGCTTGCTTACAATGGCTTGTGAGATGAAGGAGTGCTGGCTTACGGAGTCTATTACTGCTCGGATTGTGTGCAAACTACGCTCAGGGTCCAAAATTTTGAGATGAGCCGTTCCTAGTACATAATAGGATTCAGTGTTATGGTGTTGGGAAGTTGAGCTAAATCCTACAAAATGTGTAGAAGTAGGAGTGCTTTGTGCATTTGATTGAGCCTCGTGCAGGAGACTATGATGACGAGCCTTGCAGAAACGACAGGTGAACTTTGACTGGCACTCTGATGTATTATGATTTTGGCGTAGACAATTATTGCAACATTTTAAACTATTTACGAATGCTTTACGATCTTCTAAGGAGATGTTGCAAAAATTGAAACAGCCGGGTAAATCATGTTGTTCTTTGCAGAACGGACAACAGCTTGGTGGACTTTGGTATCTATCCATCCGAGGAGTAGAAAAATGTGATTTTATGTGCTGAGGGGAATTGCTGGAATTTCTGTTAGGTGTGCTTTCAGTATGTAGAAAACTCGAAGTTCTGTACTTTGGTGATCCACGACTTGGAAATTGTGAGTGCTGGTACTGAATTTTGATTTGATCACCTTTGGTGGTATTTGAAGAGGAAGCAACGTCTCTGGAGATCGTGAGGGCTATCTTCCTTTGTCTGACGAATGTGATTACTTCGTCTACTGTTGGGAATGTGCTTGTTGAGGCCCTTGCTATCTCAAATTGCCTTCGAGTCTGCGAATCAAGAGCCCTTAATGCCAGAAACGCCAACAGAACCTCGGATGAATTTTCCAAGTTGAGAGCCTTATAACCTTGAATGTTGTCGGCTACACCTACAAGGAAGTTCTCATAATTCTGCAGCTCGTTCCTTGTATTCTTGGTTTCAAAATCCAATATCTGCTGAAGAAAATATGTCGCTAGTACCCTGGGATTGTTATAAGTTTGCAACAATTTATCCCAAGCTAGGGTATATGACCTATCTTCGATTGAAATATTTGAGATCAAAGCTGCGGCTTCACCCTTTAGTGCCCCAAGTAGGTAGTGGAATTTTTCGCTGTTGGTGAATGATGTCTGTTGATGGACTAGTGATTCAAAGGTGTCCTTAAAATGGGTCCAATTCTTTATCTCACCAGAGAAAGTTGGTATGGGTATCTGTGGTAAATAGGCTTTAGCGCCAATTGTCCTGCTCGTGGTTGGTTCCATAGAACGATTTACAGTATCCTGAACTGCTGGATTCAATTCCGCTGCTAGCTTCCGATTTACCAGAATCATGATAGATTTTGCTTGTATTACTTCACTCCTACAAGCGTCGTAAATCTCCTGCATACGTGCACTCGGGAAATCTTCATCCGCAAGAGCGTGAATGGTGTCACATTTCTCCCATTTTTCCATAAACAGCGCCCAATCGGAATTTGCAGCATCTACTTGAGCTTCAAATAATGGAGCTTTCTCAAGATCCGAAAGTGCTCCCGAGCCATAATCTGAACATCCCATGATGTTCCGGTGTAAACCTCTGAGCTGTCGCTCCAGTGTAGTGATTTGAGTGTTATAATCAGTGTTAACTGGTGGCATTTTCATAAGAAAAAACGACGAAGCAAGGGGGTTCAAGGAAGAGAGAACCGATGAACACAAAGAAGACTGCAATGTAATAAAGAGAATAGAGATACAACTATAAACAAAACAAACCAGGCATGAATGTGCTAAAGAGACCATGCAGAAACTGCTGTAAGGAAAAAATCGCAATTTAAGCAATAAAAAATGAGGTATCTAATTATAAACCATACACATATATTTATAATCAAATTAATTGCTTTTAATTTGATATAGAATGCTAAGTTATAAAATATGTGTGTATATATAAGAATAAACATCAAATGAGTACTTGATGTTTTTATCCAATAGAAGTTGCTATAACAAAGAGAAATTAAAAGACTGCTACCTCTTTATTTAGTGAATGAATCAATAATGAATGCTTAACTTAATGGCTGGACGTTAGATATTAACATCGAACAATTATGATTACAATTAAAATACTTATTAAACAATAAGTGCTAATTAATTTCTGATGATATACAAACTAGTAATGTAATTCAGTAGATAAATCAATAAATAATTTGAATACAAAAAAAATTTATTAAATGCCTGGTAAATAAATGTTTCTCAATTAAAGTAGTGGTTGTTTTAAAGAGGGCTGCAAAAATGATAATTCATAACTGAAATGGATTCATTATGCATCAATAACCTAAATTCAAATATCAGAAAAAGAAATAGGCCAATGAATAAAAATTAATTAATTAATTGCTAAATTTGATGTGATAAATAATATAAGAAGGTAATTACAAAACTAAAATGAGAACAAATATAAATATGAGTGCCAATATACTACGTTTAACCTGAATGACATAAGAAAATTTTGTATGATTTAATCATTAAAGATTTTAATGATATCGGGGCCCGGTGGACCAAATGTTTAGTTTATTATTAAAGATTTGAATAATATCGGAGCCTGGAGGGCCAAATGTTTACTTTATTATTAAAGATTTTAATAATATCGGAGCCCGGAGGACCAAATGTTTAATTTACTATGCCAATCCCTTCCAAGGCTGTCAGGGATATTGTCATAATAATTCTGCTTTAAGAGCTGGTGTTAATTTATTGCTGTGGACTGTAAAATTAGAGGAGTTAATGGATTAAAGAAGTGAATATTTAAAATTGATTGCTTTATTTTATTACATGTAATTTTATACGGAGGTTAAATATAGGTGGGTTGGGTACTTGCATTTTCTCCTTTCTTCTAGTTGCCAGTCTTCTTGTTCATCTTCTCTCTCTTCCTTTCTTGGCCCCTTGCTGGCCGCTGTAATTTTTTACTCCATGTTTAGTGAATCAGTGAAATCACAAATTTTTCAACTGGCCAGTCTAGTCAATCTCTCACGCTACGTGAGCGTCTACACTTCAACAATGGCGGCGTCACACTAACAACTGAGGTGTATATGCAGTATGTTCGAGATAACAGCTGTTTTGTGGTTTCTTGATTTAATTCAAATTAAATTTAAATATGAAGTTTGATGTGTTCCCTAAACAATTAGCAACAGTGGCACATTCAGTTGGTGTGGCTCTAGCCATCGTTATTAGTTAAAGGGTTAAGGTAGTAACTGATTAACCTCCTGAGACATGAAGGGACACCCATTGCCTGTAGGGCATCCAAGATGCAGATCTTGCCAAGGTTAAACGCATTCTTCATATTCAGGGTGACAGACAACAGTGTAGTAAAACTTAACACCTCTCCTCCGTCTCTTCCCCATGATAGTATCATCGTCCTCCATAGATCCTGCTTTCCGGAAGCTGAATCGGTAAACAATATAAATAAAATAATCATTATTAAGTTAATTTGTGATCAATGTATTGTTATAATATCATTATTTTGGATTTTGTAAAATGTAGAATAAAATGAGGTTAGTGTTAAAAAAACATCAACACCAGACAATGAAAACCTAGTAACTTTATTTTATTAAATTTTACAATGGAAAAAATAAATGTTTAAAAGGATTTATTAAGTGATACAGATTTAATTAATTCCTATAGTTTTTGCTATTTAGTTCAATACTTATGTATATATTTGAGATATCTATGCACTTTTAAACCTCTTTAAAATAAAGCTGGATACATTCATTTCAAAGTAGTTTATTATCATTTCTTGGTTGGATTAGCAGTTTTCATGATGAAACCAAATAAAGTCACAAAAAAGTGATTTTTCATTTATTCTTAAAAAAGAAGAATACTGCTTATATTAAAACTGTATCTTGAGAGCTCTAACAGGGTAGGTTCAAATATTAGCAAATTTTCTCTTCTTCGAAAAAGAAAGATTTAGATTCATGTTTTTTGGGTGGTAGCTAGGAGATTTGGGTGGTAGGAGGAGGTAGTAGCTGGGATTTTCTTGAATAAACTAAATTTTATAGTTTGCTAAATTCCTATTTTTGGATTTTATATGTCAAACCAAACCAGAATAACATTTCAAAAAATTAAAACTTCTTGCTCTTTTTTTTCCCTTGTACTATTAATGTTTTAAAAGTGATACTGTGACACAATGTTACTTTATCCAAGTATTATATTTTAATTTCTTCTCATTCAATTCTTTAATTTGTTTTTAGGGAGGGCCATCCGCTCGCTCATGTCACAAAGTATGTGTTGATCCTGAGAGGAGACAAATCTTTGTGTTAGGCAGGTATCTTGACATTCAGTTTAGAACTGCTGGATCGCTTAAGGTAAGGTGATTTTTAGAACTGATACAATAATTATAAATTGAGCTAATTTTTAAAAGAAAAATCATGATTTGAATGAAAACATTCCTATTCAAACAGAGTCATTCATATTAATGCCAATGTTCTTTTTTCTTATATAAAATAATAAGTGAATTATTACTGGACAGCAATGCACATTCTCAATTTAAAATTGGGTAAGTAATCGACCGATTAATTATAGGGATGAAACAAAAATTGTCAAACAAAAAAAAAAAAAAAAAAGACAAGAACTCACTTTCTGTATGTACACATAAGTAAGTTTTTTATTTTGTTATGCTGTTTCTGTTTCTTCTATATTTTATTTTTCTCATTGTTTTCTATAGGCTGCATTTTGTGTGATGATCAATATTTTTTTGTTTTGTTGCCATTTTTAATATCCAAATGTAGTTGTAACAACAAAAATATAAAATTAAGATTGAACATTATTAAGTATAGTTACGAATTTCTCTAAAAACGGTTGAAAATATTTCTGTGTCACCCGTGCATAGTGTGTTTAAGGCAGAAAATAAAAACAAAACAAAAATATTTAGTTGGTAAAATGGTGTTTTTTTTTTATACCTCGAAGAGTGTTAGATAAAAATAAATTGTATTAGTTTTGGTAATAAGTACTAGTTTAGTATTAATTTTAAGTCACATTATTATAGCCAACACATGATTTAAGAAACAAAAGAGAGTTAGGGGAGAGACAGATGGTGGAATCTCGCAAGCGAAGAGGTATGCTAAGTAGTTGTGGATGAAACCAATTTTTTTTGTGTATGAAATATTTTAGTTTTACGTCGTATGCCAGATTTTCCTTTTTTCCCACCCTTAATCACTGATTATCAGTGAGTGTCGCTTGATTTTACAAATTGGTGGATAAATATTTTCACAACTTCTATATGTGGAAAACAAAACCCTGACGATGCTGGCTTGAATAACTCCAGGTTCCCGTTTCCTCAGATAACTCAATGTGCAAATTGGGCAAAGTACATCATTGAGATTTTGTAAATATGTATTGTTGGGGCTAGGGGTATTTCAAAATTTAAATAGGAATCTTTCTCCTGGGAATTTCCTCAAAAGGGAGAAATACTAGTAAAAATAAAAATGAAGGTATTAAAATGGAAATAAATCAAAATAAAAATGAAACCTGTGAAGAAAAGACATGCACATCAAACAAATATTAAATATAAATATATTAAATAAATTAAGAATGAAAAATAAAACCAACAATCCCCTGTTTTAATGTTTATAAAATTATATTGGATTAAAAAAATAGCTATATATATATATATATATATATATATATATATATATATATATATATATATTAAAATAGAAAAACGAAAAAGTAAAAACAATTACACTCCTGTTCAACCAACTAAAATTAAAACTAGAGATAAAAGAAATATTCAATAAATAAATATTGTCCATAAAGAATAAAACATTAATTATGAGAGAAAAATATTAAATTAATATTAATTACTTTCTGTGAGAAACATCTACAAAAAAAAATTATAAGTGTGGTAACCCTACTTATACAAGGTTACGTCGAGATACCAGCTGGTGATGCCAAGCCAGTCAATGGGAATCTATATGCATATCGACCTCGATCGATGGCTGCCGAAGTCCCTCAGCTGTGATGAGCAAGATGGCGCTAGATTGGAGAGGTGAGTACAGAGCTCGAGCAAATAGTGAGGATGGGGATTGATCTAATGCCCAAGTACATAGATCCAATATGGACAAATGCTGGCTCTAGACTGTGCAGTCTAGTTTATGGCTTAGTCTTATCAGTCTAGTCTTATCGCAAGCATTGGTTATTTTAATCCTTAAGAATAAGTATTATTGCCGGGCATTGGGCATATAAATAAGCGATAATACATTACGAATAAGTCACAATATTTAAATTATATACAATAAACTAAATTTCTGGAACAATTATCCCTCAAACTTTTACAAAGAAAAAATAATAATAAAAAGAAAAGATAAAAATGTATGCGGAATTAACATGTATATATAAATTTTTTTTACTATCCATTTTTTCAAACATGAAAAATTAGAACTATGAAGCAGACTGACCACCCCAATTATTCTTCTCTTTATTATCCACGACAGTCAACCATTTACCAATTATGAAAAATGAGTATATTGTGTATTATAATTGTTGATTAATTTTTAGTTTTATAATATTCTTTTGTATAATTCTTTGTAATATTCTTTTCTTTGATAATTACAGTTTATTTTATCTTCTAAATTAATTTTATGTTTCTAATATTTGTTCTATTTAACTGTTATTTTTAATAAATCTAGAAACAAGGAAATCCATTATCAGTATTAATAATATACAGCTTTTTTTTTTTTTTTTTTTCTTTACTGTTGTCTCTGTTTTTAGGTTTTAGTAATATATTATTCTCTTTTGTTAAGATTTAATAAAGAATTGTAAGTAAAATCCTGTTCGAGGTATCAGGTAAAAATCAATAATAACAAAGTAAGAAGGTTTTATGGCTGATAAGGGATAGAGTAGTAAACATATCATATGTTTTATTAATCCATAGGTTCTGCTCAATTTTTTTCTCCTGCTTCATACATCTTCAGTATTGCTCTGATGTCTATTCCCTGCCATTAGGTCGTCCACCATCATTGGTCATATTCACATCAGCTCTGTGGAAATTTCTTCTAGAGTGTGTTTCATTTTTAAGTAGATTATTTTAAGTTGTGTGAACTTATCATTTAGTTATTAGAGACAGTTACCTGGTGTCTATCTGCCAAAAAGTGGATCTCGAGGATAGAAACAAGATTGATAAAGGGATCAATAGTTGGTCGGTGAGTCAGAAATTATTTATTATCTAGCTAGTGGAACTTAGTACTCAAGTCAGCTCTCCCCACCTACCTGCGTCTCGATATTATTGTTGATACCTCAGTCCCTCTTAGGCTAAGGGAAGACTAATACCTATTTCTTTACAAATATTTACGTAGTATTTAATTTTATATATAAATTTTAATTTTAAATGGTTTCTAATGAGGACATAATTAAAGCAATTTAAGAAATGAAAACAAATTTAGAAGTGAATAACGCACTTATGGGAAATTTTTTTTATTTTTATTTATTTATATGATATTTACAACTGTATACAAAAAATACATCTAATAAATTCGCACATGGATATAATGACATGATACACATGTTGAGAAACTACCCATTGGTAGCACTCTAATAATATGTCTATATTAGGAGATCACCTGGCCATCTTCTTTTCAGACGCCTCGGAGGGTTATCAGGTACTGAATAGGAAGCAAGGTTAGAAACAAGAGGGTTGGGATGGTTATGAAGTTTATTATGGAAGGACAGATATCTGGATTGGGGCAAATCTGATGCATAAGGAACATTAAGGTCATTATGGATGATTTTATTTGTAACAAAGTAAGGAGCATTGAGGATTTTACGAAGGATTTTGGATTGTAAGGATTGGATACGAGAGGAGTTGGAAGGTTTGGTGGAGCCCCATAGCTCAACTCCGTAAGTCCAAATAGGCCTTATTATAGTCATGTAAATGAGTCTTTTATAATTAATTGGAAGGTTAGAGCGTTTGTCTAGTAAGTGTTGAAGTAGTCGGAAACGTCAAGCTGTTTCTTGTCGTTTCAGTCTGGTATGAGGATTCCAAGTTAGACGTTTTTCCAGATGGAGTCCTAGGTAACGGATTTGTTCAACAGGAATAAGTGAGGTGTTGTTAAAGGATACTGAAGGACAGGAAGTTATTGGTTTACGACGAAGGGTGAAGGTAATTTGATGGGATTTATTGGAATTTATTTTAATTCTCCAGTTCTGACACCATTCTTCAAGGTTTATGATGCGGGATTGAAGGGTTTGGGATGCAATAGATGGGTCGTTATTAACTGATAGGATACATGTGTCATCAGCATATGTGGTGATGACAGTGTTGGGATGGGTTGGGATGTCAGCTGTATAAACTGTGTAAAGGATAGGACCTAGGATACTACCTTAAGGAACACCTGCAGACTGGGAAAAGAGGGATGTATAGACATTGTTGTGATTTACTTTAAAGTATCTATCAGTAAGGTAGGAACGGATAATGAGGAAGTATGTAGATGGTAGGAATTTTCGAAGTTTGTACAGCAGTCCTGGGTGCCAGACTCTATCAAACGCCTGTTCAACATCGAGAAAGACTCCTGTACAGTACATACCACGCTCCAATGCAGAGGATACTACGTCTACCTCACGATGGCATTGCTGTATAGTGGTATGGGAGGGGCTGAATCCAAATTGGTGATCTGGGATTATGTGATTAGAATTTAGGATGTGATACAGGCGTTTGAAGATTAGTTTTTCTAGGATTTTTCCCGTGATGGGTAAAAGAGAGATGGGGCGGTAAGAGGATGGATATTCTGGTGGCTTTATGGGTTTGTGGATCATTTTGACAATAGATATTTTCCAAGGATCAGGGAAATATGTGGATCGGAGTTCAGCATTATATATGAAAGTAAGGAATAGGATGGCTTTTCGAGGAAGAAGTTTCAAGATCTGGGATGTTATTAGGTCATGTCCAGGAGCTTTGCGGGAGGGTAATCTGTGAATGATGTTGAATATTTCTGTGGGATGAAATGCTTTAGGTGGAAGGGACATTTGGAGAGGAGTATCCAGTTCTGATTCAATACATTCGATGTGGGTTGGATTAAGGATATCAGGATGTGGGTTGAAAATTTGGAACAGATGTTGACCAAATAATTGGGCTTTTTCTTCTTCGAATTTGGACCAGGTTTGGGATTCAGTAAAAAGTGGGTGATTAAAGTCTTTAAACTTCAGAAATTTTTTGGTTGTCGTCCATAGTGATTTGTCAGTTGTAATATTTTCAGTTAGGTTCAGTAATTGTTGAGTTTTATATTTTCTGATTTCTGATTTTAGTTTGTTAGTCAATTCGGTATAGTACGTTTTGTCTGAAGGATATCTAGTCCTGTGCCACTTCGATCTTGCTCTGCGT